GACAGCTGGTCAAGAGGAATCCGCCGTCGTCTTCTGGTGGAACCGGCATTCGAATCTATTCACCCAAAACTTTCACTCGAAATGGAAGTAAGCTCAACAAGAATGAGGTAAGCAATTCATTCGGTGTAACTCCGGGAGATAAAGGGCAACTTTATTGGAAAGTGGATTGAACTCTGCTCTTCCAAATGAAGTCAACCATCCTTTGGACGTTCTAGTGGAGTTAATTAGCTTATTGGATAAGTCTCGTAAAGAAGTGAAGAAAGGTATTGAGTTGGAAGTGATTCCTTATTTTGACCAAATAATCCCGCCAAAGCAATCTTCTGTTGTCAGTAGGGTTTGGGTCATTTAAGTTGCAATAATCAAATTGATGTGAAAGCCGACAAAGGTGGAGCAGTGGTAGTCATGGCTAGGGCAAGTTGTGTAAAAAAAACTAGTTTATTTAAATGATACCAAAGCTTATATGCCCTTTATGGGAGATCTAACAGAAAGAATTAAGACTAGGCTGGAGGATGCCCTTAAGGTATGCGTAAGTGATGGTGGAATGGGGAAGTGGAAAATGGCTTTACGGTTACAGAGAGTTGCAAGGGCACCGACGACTGACGGTTCCCAGATAGAGTGTCGCTCTAAGATCAATTGTAAATAACAAAAGAAGCGTGATGCATTAAAGCTCACGAAAGGTTGCAGTATTTAGTCTATATTCAGTTACAAAATATTGAGTTTTTAAAATTGGTTGATGAGCAGATGATTTCAGATGACGATAGGCTGATAAGTTTTGCAATTGTGTCTATGTACAGCAGCCCTCACTGCTCTCCAGACCTGTTGCACCACCGCTGTTTCAGCTTGATGGACGAACTCAAGGGTTTTCGTATGTCTGGGGCTCACCAATGCAATGACGTGAATGTTTCTCTTTACAGGTCGGCCAGAACTCCGAATGTTTGTGCATCGGGGCAATTTTATCCTGTCACCATGTCGACAAGACACCATAAAACGCATTCAGCCACCACTTTAGATGTACAAATCTCCTCAAATTAAAGATATCACTTCAGCCTTACAGATGATGCCTATGTTTTGCATTACACCCGGTTTCGGGGCAAAAGTAGAAGATCCCTTTGAGAGAATCGCCGACAAAGCGAAAATCACTCCATGCAACAGAATATAATAAAACAAAGCTCTGACGCTCTACAGTTGGCTTCTGCTCTCTGCCGATGCCACAAGGACGTCGGCGAAGTGGCTTGACCAGATCAATGGTTAGATGCACGAAGAAGACATGACGCCAATAGCAGAGGATACAGAACAGAGGACTTCCCTCGAGGTTGTCATGACTGCTCTCTAAAGCTACAAAATTGTGCCCAGCCGAGTTCTACAGGTCAGGGATTGTAGCATAAGAGTGGCGAATCAAGCCGGCAAAGTCAATTTTTCTACTAAAAATGTCCTGCAATGAATACGTCTGGTTTCTTGTCCTAATTTTCCTTTTTCATGTAGCGTCTCGAGACTACCAGCAGATCCGAAATAAACACTATGTTCACCCTGTTTCCTTTAAGGCGATGAAGGTCTGGTAATTGAATTTTTCCAAAATGCTATGAATAAACCTCATGTCTCCATTGGATTTCGCATAACCTTGCCTCCCAAACATATATTTTCAACCAGGCTGAAGTGAATTGCAGTTTCGACCTCGCCTAATCTGGTTTTATCAGCGCCCCCCAAAAGCGACTCAAACTCGGTTTGTGATAGCATATGTCTTTCGCACTTCACTTACTATACTGTGGGTGACGATGAAGCAAAACTTTATTTGCCATTACAATCGCCTTTATTACTTACTTCCCCTGTTAGGAGACTACAAGTAGCTCTTGAATAATAACTGTGTACGCCATGAGTTCGAGTCCCACAAAGAGATTTACGGGGTCGAGGTGATGTCGGCACTTCAGCCCATTCCTGATTGGATGAGAACACTTTTTGGGAAACGAGACTTTGTGAAATTCAGTGAAACTGTGACGCCTACTCATATGCTCATGGACAAAGTTAACAACCAGTCCTTCAGACAAACTTAATATTTCTGTCTTTAGTCAAGCTGCCAAACATCCCACGAAAAGTAAATGAACCTAGGATCGGTTACAGCCACTATAGCAGATTGGTTTTCTTCAAAAGAGACCAGTAACGGGTTTATCCATAACTATGATGCAAATCTTGATTTCTAAGTTTTCCTCACTAATTTTATATCAACTGGCATTTTATTTAGTCTGAAAAGTCGGAGGCAAGTGTTTTGTAACTTGGCTTGAAATTGGCCGTGGCACTGGTGATAAACTTTAGGCCCTCTTGACCAAAAATATCCGCAAACATACATATGTAGATGCATACAGACATACAGACAGACCGACAGACAGATAGTGGAGATTTTTTTACACTATCTTCCATAGTCTCACCTCAAAAGATTTTTCTCATCCAGTCATGATTCTTGTTTCCACCTTATCCTGATCCCATCAACTCTCGCAACAGCAATCGAAACTGGGTCGTGTCCGTCATGACGACGCTGTACCATTCAATCACATGGCCATGGATACAAGTGGATCATAGTACAGGTCTATTTCAAATCACCTTTACATTGGGAGTTTTGATGTGAACGTCTACTTGCCTTTATAACCGACGATGTAGCCTATTTCAGACGTGAATATGTTGCGAAAAAGTAGTCCCGCTTGGATGAGAAAACGTTGCAGATGGCAGAGTTAAGAGGACCTTAGTGGCACCGGGGGGCTAACGCATTAGGTTGTGGGAAAATTCTTCCTTTTCCTTCCTTAAGTCAGCTTAAGCGACCGACCAATTATTAATTTAAGTTAATTAGGCTGACTAACTACACCGGAATTATTAAAGGTATCAGAGAATACTTGCCTCAAATATATATTAACGAAGCAGTTAATCGCAACTTTATTTGCGTTTATTTCACACTCGTATCCACCAATACAGCCGCCTTCCAGAGGCGACTGGCTCGAGGGGGAGATTTGTTTGTGCAATCGACAAACGTCTCAATAACCAACGATGTCAGGCTGGCATAGAAGGTGGAATGATTGACTTTAAGGCACGTAATGATGTCACCCTCTTCTCTTCACTTTATGCCTGATACAGATTTTGTGTGGCGAAAGTGCCAGCCTGCCTTAATTGAGCAAACAAATACTTTGGAGTTCTGTTAAAAATAGCATTTGATCAGCAGTTGCTGCGGTCTTCATGCATCCAGCTCCCATGCCTTGTTTTAATAAAAAAACTCCAAAATGATTGGTTAGCGGCAATGGTTGGAACGGGGGAACACGTTGCTTGCAGCATTTTGGTTGACGTGTGAGAGTACGTAGGAAGTAGGACAAAACGCGAAGTGAGACAAAGGTCTCCTGCCCTGAGGAGAATTTGAGACGACTCTTACATAATTGGGATAACTTGCTCACATTAATTATACTGATATTAATAGCGAAATCTTTATTATAATTATTACAATTATTAATGGAAGAAGAAATATAAGAAGGAGAAAGAGGAAAATAAGCAAATAAGTGGGAGACCCTACTAAATTTCTCCCAATGCCCCAGTCCTTTTATGCATTGGGACAAATAGGTGTTCACTTACAACGTTTTGTGAAATGCTCAGTATGGCAAACATATCTACAACTAAGGGCTCGACTTTTTCTCGATAATTGTTGGTTTCCTTTTGAGGAATGAGGGACTTCGGAGAAAATGGATACTACTAATGGATGTCAATTAGTATATCTAATAATGATAATGACACAACTATTATTATTATTATTATGTATACTTATGTGAATAATAATGCTAATAGTAATATATGTAACTTTAATGTTTATATTTATATTAGTAACAATATAAAAAAATAATATTATCATTATCATTAGAAAAAAAGAAGAATATATGAAAATTGCATGGTAAATCTCCGCCCCTTCGTACACATGTCAAAGGAGCCTGTTTCATTTTTTATTTGCTGACTATCCCACTGAAGATTCAAAGTAAATGCCATGCGAGAACTAGGACCTTATCATCAGCTGTGGTTATCCGGCTATTTTTGTGTATATGTGAAGATTAGCTGACATTCGACGAAATGGCTTGACTGATGCTTGATACCTGAACTCTGAGCTGAGTTACTCACTATGAATCCTTAGTATGTGTTAGCCGATGCCAAAGTTGGTTGTCTAACCACCAGAGCGAGAAGAGGGCAGTTCTAAAAGTTCACGCCTAAAGTGAAATACAGAAAGTAGCCAATAAGTGATGAGAAAAGCTAAGTTCGATTGTTAAAGAAGATGTCCGTATTCCAAAGAACTGACCTTAGCATCAATCATCAAAGAAAAGGAGGATGGCCGTTGTACATTTGTGGATCTCTTAGGCACACACACAAATGGCAACTAGCTACTATGAGTAAATGGTTAACCATATTATGCTAACCGATTGCATGGCATTTTGGAAAAAATTCAACTAACAGTCCGCGTATCACCTTAATTGAGATAGAGTGAATAAACGTAATGTATAAATGACGTACTGGTAGTCTTAAAAACCTACTTATAAACGTAGCATATGGAGGGTTACTTTGCCATATGGCAGCATGGTAAGGATTGTTTAGCTACTTTCTTCTTCTTAAATAACCAGATTCATTTTTATGTTATGTTGAAAATGGAGATAGAGAGGGACTATAATTTACCTTATTTTTCGATGTTTTACTGATCATGTCGGGCGAGAAGTTAAGCAGGGATGCATATGAACCCAACACATGCTGGCCGATTACTTAAATTCGTATAAAAGCATAGTTACAAAACAAGGATTGGCGTTTTTAAAATCTATGATTATACGGAGCATAAGACTACCCGATAGAGACCGTTGTGGTACTGAACTGAACTGACTTAAGCCAACATTTCTTGGGAATAATTAGAAAAAGTGTTGCCTATTTTTGAATAGTGAATACGTAAGGAGAGATGAGAAGACCTTTCTCCATATTGTGTCTGTACCATCGAGCATACTCTTAAAAAGATAGGCGAACTAATAGGAAAGTGGGCAAACTAGGACACTTTATTCAGCTATGCCCACTATCC